ATGCGCTTAATATTAGTGAACGTGACGAGGAAAACATTTTGAACGTGGAAAGTACTCTGTTTGGTCTAAAACGTAAAGTTTCGACAAACCAGTTGTCCATTAAAGACTTTTTTGGTAAAAAGAAGTAACTTTGAAAGAGAAACATTGTTTTTTTTTAAATTTTTAATGCTTTCCCGCATCTATCGTTTTTATTTCCCACCCCCGCCGAAAACGATGCATCGAGGTTTCACTGTATATGCTGAAGTGGAAATAAGGAAGGGAGAAAATTACATAAAGAATATTTCAGTTTGTACTGTATACATAACAGTATTAGTGTGATTCAAGGATGTGATGAGAATGATAATTAGAATATGTGAGGAAACAAGAAATAGGTAAAATGTTTGGTAGGAAAAGCTTAAGGGAAGAGGTCACTTAGAAAATATAGGTATAGGTAGGGGATGAAAATGTATTTTGGAGAAACAGTTTATGAAGGTGTGACCTGGATTCATCTGGCAAGAATAGAGTTAAATGCCGCACTTTTGTGAACATAGTGATGCACCTTTGGACTTCCTTAAATTGTGGATTTTTTTTGGTTGATGGAATGAGGTTCAGCTGTTCAGGGAAGACTGTGTACTCTGTAACTGGTTAGGTCATTGGTTGGTGAGTTTGTAAACTGATTAACTTCAGTGTTAAATGAAGGACACTTCTTGTGTTTACAGGTATTTGCTTCAGAGGCTGCCTGGACAGTGACTGATGAAGCCATTCAGATCCTTGGTGGAATGGGTTTTATGAAGGAATGTGGCCTTGAGAGGGTCATGCGTGATCTTAGGATCTTCAGAATTTTTGAGGGAACTAATGACATCCTGCGGCTCTTTGTAGCTCTCACAGGTACTTTATAATACAAACATCATAATGACAAAATAAATGTTGTACTTGCTGTCTTCTTTCATGAATGTAATTATCTTCATGGTGCATTGTCTTTCTTTATTGTAGTCCCCATATAGCAGAATAAGTTGGTGATTGTGTTATTGGTAAATGTGTTTAATTCTAGAGACAGGTGGACACTTGCAGTTCATTAAGAGGGTTCTGAAAAATCAACTTTTGCTTCTTTAGAATCTTAAACAATACACTTTTTTATCTGTTAACATTTAAGATTCATTTGGTAATGTACCTAATTGTTCTGTTGCAGGAATCCAGTTTGCTGGAGCACATCTAAGGGAGCTGCAGAAGGCATTCAAGAACCCAGCAGCAAACCTAGGACTGATCTTTGAAGAAGCAACCAAGCGAGCCATTCGATCAGTTGGTCTTGGCAGTCCTCCTTCCTTGTCAGAGCATGTTCACCCAAATCTTGTGCCTGCAGCCACCCTTGCTGCCAAGGTGAGTGTGGAGTTTCTTTCTAGCATTTGGGGAATATCAATTCCAGGGCAGCAAGTAGCAAGAGTGGACACGTGCTTTACAGACATGCTGTTTGTGTAGTTACACCACTCTGCATGGATTCTTGATGAACATTGCAGGTACAGATGTTTTGTTTTGTATATTTTTAGGTTTTGTCAAACGTGTCTGCTGTGGTCCTAGAAATGTGTTTCCAAAAACTCTTCTCTGCAATATTATCAAGACTTCCTATGTATTGAACGTATCCCAGTCGATAAGTTGCCTTTCATTTTCATGTTTTCATCCCTCAGTGTGATACTTATTTCCAAATTTATCTGTATGAATGTGAACAGATATTTTCATTGTAGGTATGATGCAGTTTATGGTGTGAAACATTAGGTCTTACTGGTTCAAAAGATGATAATTTTTAATGGTATTCCATAAAATTAAGATTTTGATTTGTAACTTTATTGTGTATGAAAGCCTTTCAGTAGACAGTGAATGTGACTATATTTCTGCCTGAACTTATATTCTGGTTTTGTGTTTTATCTATTTTTATTCATTTCTTAATACTGTATACAAATTTCATCTCTCCTGCTTGTAATCTGCTTACATCTCTCTTACTCCTTGTTCACATTTCTGCTCTCTAGGTCTAAACAGGCAAGTAGAGTATCATTTTTCACAACCCTTAACCCATCCAGTCCAGCTTGTATCTTTATACATCAGTATGTTACTGTCTTTACAGTTGTTCTACATTTTAATTCATATTTGGTCTACTTATGTGGGAATGATGAGTCGCGGTAGCTCAATCAGTATAGTGACTGGCTGCGGACTGGACGACTGGGTTTCGATCCCTGATGGGGCAGAGGATCTTTCCTCTAGTCTCTGTGTCCAGACTGGCTCTGGGCCTGACCCAGGCTCCTATCCAATGGGTACTGGGGTCCTTTCCCAGGGGTAAAGTGCGGCCAGGGCATGATGCTGACCACTCACCTCCACCTAGTGCCAAGGTCAAGAATGAGTAAGAGCTATACCTCCTCTTCCCCCAAATGACCTACATGGTGTGTAGTGGGATAGCTTTACTTTTTACTTTGTTTGGAAATGCTGTTATTAATTTGTTTTGCAGAGTGTTGAAGCTTTTGGGCAGGCAGTTGAAGCTACACTAATCAAGTATGGGCGTGGTGTTGTGGATGAGCAGTTTGTACTAAATAGGCTTGCTGGTGCAGCCATTGACACCTACACAATGGCTGTAGTTCTGTCTCGAGCCACCATGGCACTACAGAGAGGTTTGCCTTCTGCACATATCGAGGAACTCATGACCAAAGTTTGGTGCAGTGAGGTGAGATTTTTGAGTTTCTTCTGTGTGGCAATAGTTGATTTTACTTTATCACAGTTTAAACACCAACTTTTAGCTCCAGACATTGGCTGTTTTCCTGTCCCACTGGCTAGTAATAACTTGAAAACATTGCATGGGTGTATACTCCTGAGATTACGAATTAATTACATCGCTGACACTGCTTCCAACCTTAGGAGTGAGTAGGATATCTTTATCTGCTTCAGTGGGGTCCTAGGCATCACTCTTGTCTAGAAGTGATTCAGGTCCTTGGCACAACTTCAAAACTTAGGACTGAGAACTATGGCCATAGTTCATGGACCATAATGCAAGTTCAGTGATGACAGACCAAGATTGTTGTCACAGTTGCTGTGCACCTGATTTGTATCCCAGTTGGATTACTGGATGTCCTCACCAAGATTTATAGTAGTTTTGCATAATTCAGGCAGTTGTGGGTATAACTTGAAATATGCCATGACAGTTTCCTATCTGGTCTGTTTCATTTCAGTCTGCAGAGTCATGTATTCTTCTTATTTTGCACTAAATAGCCTCCAGAGTTTTTTCAGTGTCATCATTTACAAACCAACCAACCAGTCATCCTCATACATATTCTAAGGGTAAAATCTTATTGATCGTTATTTTAGTTAGTCAAAATTAATAATCTATTAACCAAATAACTGCAAGAATACAGCAAATATAAAGTTAGTATGAAGCTATTTACCTTTACAGGCATCTGAACGAGTGGCTCAGAACTTGGGAGCAGTTCGATCTGCTCAAACACTAGAGAACTTCTCAAATCTTAGTGCCATTGCCAAGAATGTGTGTGAGAATGGGGACATTGTTCACATCAATCCACTGAACTTTTAAATATGGTAATTCTCATGTTAAAAAGGTAAGGTGACTGGTATTGTATCGCAATATATAATCTTTTATCACTGTTGCAGCGTTTCAGTTGACAGGCGTTTTTATGTTATTTTAATGTTTTATAATTTATGTAATTTTCAAAATTCATTCAAAATGATTTAACCCATTTGGTTTTGGTCTGGGTGCTAAAAGTCTGTAATGCCCTGTCATGGGTAAAAATTGAGAAAAATGTGATATTTTTTACAGTAATTTTGTTCCCATTAAGATTATACTGGAAATTTATTTTTCCACATTACTTATGAGTGTGTTCAGTGTCATTTCAAAACAGAAACCAATTTTGTCACATACATTCACTACACAAAACATCTTTGTTTTTAGAATAGCCTGTGTATGGGCCTTGAAAAAGCTTTATTATTCTTGATGAGTTATAATCATTTACTAATGCATATGACACAAGCTTATTTTGTGCTTTATGCAAAGCAGTTCAGTAGTTGTGAGAAACAATCCTTGAGATCAAGCTCTGCGACCGTAAAATGTCACACAAGCAATGAACAGGTTAATAAGTCTAGACTCTAAATGTTTCCAGAATCTGAATGCATTATCTAATCTAGACTCTATTATTAAAACAATACTTGTTATTTAAATTTTAGCACAGTAGCATTTTGTACTGAATGAAGATTTTGGTGTGTTTTGTAATTTTGGCTTGTTTCAGAGTATGTGTTTTTATAGACATGTTTATATATTATATTTTTATATTCTTTTAAGATACTGTAACCATGTAATAGTAACTCTAGTTAAAGTCAACATCAGTTGCCTTAGGATTTGTATTTATAAAATGAGTAAAGACTGAGGGAAAATCAGATTTATAGTCTGAAGACATGTGTCAGATTAATATACTTATGTTTTTTGGGTTATGATACTGTCTTGTGGCACATACATTATTAGTAGACAATGAAGTTCTTGCATATGCCATTTATTTCTGGAATATGATAACAAATGTTTGAAAGGTTTGTTTTCTGTGAAAATTCTGCAACTTTTAAAGCAACAAATATTTTTAGCAAATAATGTGAATACAGTCCTATATAGCTTGAGCATTATATACAATAAAGTAATCTGTATTACAACGCTAAACTTATTTACATTATCCCAGCATATTTGGCCCACATCAGCTGAGTATATGCAGTATGAGAATGAGGAGAACATCCTGATAGAGGGATAGGAAGGAGCAGCAGTGTATGATATGGTTCAAAACCATTGTCCAATAGATGTTTTAGTTATTGGCCAGTATTGTTATAACACACATATTGTAGGTAAATGCTGAAGGACATGTAATCATTATGGATGTGTTTTATCAATAGGAGTTTAAATTGATAGTACTGAATTTGTTATTGCGGAAATTTGTCAGCACTTTGCTCTCATTTAATATTTAACAGTTGACTTAACTTTATCAGTACTTGGAATTAGTTTAGTTTTGGAAACGTTTATTCTCTCGTGTATGATTTGAATGGAAATGTATATTTGCTATTATTTTGTCATCAGTAGTGTACCTGAATGGCTGTGCCCACATCTTGTACCAGGTCTAGATTGAAGGTGGCTGTCTTCTGCATTTTAGTGCCATGTAATCTGGTGTGACATGAATTTTGGCACTGTAATTATTACCCTTCACCTAACATTGTTAGGATAGTTAAATCAGGGATAAGATGTATGATAATACATAACATATATGGGATAACAAGTACAGCATGCAAAATTCTGGTTGTAAAAGCTCATAGGAAGAAATAGTGTGAAGCCTAGTGGGAAGTTTCTTAAAGCAGATATTATAGAAATGCATTGTGAAAATATGCACCATTTTGAACTGAAAGTGACTGGACTGAATAAAATCCTCTCAGGCTGCAAACTATCAGTTCTGGATAGAAGCCCGATGTTTCAGAGACCCTCTCTGCCTCCATCATTAGGGGAACGATGATGAGATTTATGATCACATGCTAACAGCAATCTTATGTATGTGTGCAATCTCTGTGCCAGGTAAATAACTGCTGTAAATTTGTCACAAGTGTTATTATTTTTAATTTTTTAGAGAAATTTACAGCAATTGCATACATACAAAATATATTACAGTCCAATAGGGAACACTAACTGCAAAATTTAATATAAATGTCATGACAGTTGAAAACCTTCATGTATTCTTCCCAGAAAAGTTTATTTTCATGGATTTATCTGTGCCAAGACCAACATTTCGTATATAATTATGACAGGAAACTGACACAAACAGAAAACGGGGCAACAGAAAGTTATAGCACTTGTTTAAAGTTATTGCTGCATTAGACAACCAGTACAGCATCATAATATACAATACAGAAAGTGAATAACAATAAATCATAGTAAATTGTAACACTGGTTACAAAATGTGTAACATATGCACATCTGCCACCAAGAATGTATGTGTTGGTAATTAATTTTGAGAAGACATTGCATTTGATTTAAAAATCATATTCTAACCTATTTAACAGGAAACAATAATTCACTGCTGATGACTGCAGCTGTTATTCATGCAGGGTTGTAGTTGAGCCAGGGCAGTGCTTTAGGTGCTTGAACTCTATTGTGTTCACAAGAATCATATGTTAATTCTGTGACCTGCAGTGTTCATTTTTGCATTTAAAAGTGTAAAGCTATCATTAAATACTATACCAGAGAGATTGGCCTCTTATCATGATTCATGCCCACTTCTTTCAACCTGGAACTGTGTGCCAGACTGTCCAGGCACTTTTATTTTTAGGACTACAACCCTGCACTGAAGCAAATGTCCTCCCACAGTGAACTTAGTTATGATGTACCCAGCATTAAGAATAGACTATGCTGTCTATAGGTTTTTCTAATTGCACCATGTCTGTTTTTCAACACTAGACTACGATTTAATTATATTTTCTCTACAAGGTTATGAAAGAATTCATAGTTCACTTTTTACAAAACTTAATTTTTTAAACAATGTCTTCCTCTTTAGATTATTGGAACAATGTTTTTTAAAAGTAACATCCTTGACCTCTGTTGCATTGTTTTCACATAATGCACATGATTAATCCAGAAAGCTCCAAAGGGACTGGAAACAAGGTTTGACTTTCCTGCCTTTACATGGTGAAATGACTGTGTTGATACATGCTGACTAATGCTGCAGAACAGAGAAGTTTGTGAGAGGAAATATACCACCTCAGTATAACCCTGAAACCAGTGAAGTCTTCCACACTGACTGTGCAAGTAACTTGTGAGTACTGTATTTGGGTGATGGGTGCTGTGCTTGCACCGTCATACTATTTGCTGTAATTTTGGTAGGTGAAGAACAATGATCTATTCTAAATGTTACACAGAAATATTTGTTTTTTTTCAACAGATTTCATTCACATTCAACAGCATCTTCACATGTCCTAGTACAAGCATTAAAAGTAAAGAGAACTAAATGTGTATTGACTTTTGACATGAATTTGATAGAAGTGTTATAAAATAAAAAAAAACATGTTTGTTTAACCATGGCTTCCTGACACGCCGGTTTAATCTTAAATTTACATTTGAAGACAATTATTGCCTTGAAATGGATGTGTTAAACTATGCACAGTAATTTGAAACTGGAAAGCTTACCAATTTACATTAAAGGATAACTGACTACTCTCTGCCATCAAAAATTGTATTCCTTTCCTCCAACACTCCACCACTTTACCCTTACTGCAAATGTTGGAGACCATCTGTCAACCACTATTGGACCGTCCAATGTAATATTACAAAATCATGTAAGATGCATAGTAATTATTTATACCACAAGTTAAATGTCTTGAAGCCCTCTCTGAAGACATACTAGTCAATGAACTGCACTTCAAGATTTCATGAATAACACCAACATCTGAAATGCACTTTTATATTATGGCAGTCATGCAAATGTAATTGAATATGTGTCCAGTTTTCAGTCAGCTTAATTCATTGACATAAAAATGTGGTAAACTTTCTTGTTCCTAAGATGATCCCACTTTATGTGGATCATCTGAGCAAAATTACTGTACTGACTACAAATACATGAATTGCCACCATGTAAAGGTTTCTTTCTCACAGCCTAGTAAAATTTTAGGAAAAAAATCGAAGCATATAAATAAATGTGTGCATACATACATACACATACACTTGTAGCACAATGGACCTTCCAACACTTACAGGCTCAAAGTTTCAAATTTACAGTGTACCTTTCCTTTCATTAAATATATGTACTCAGAAATTCATTATGAAGTGGAGGTTGCACCTGCTTGACATTTGTAGTTTATGTTGGTAGCTCTTAAAATAATTTTGGCAGTATTTTGGAGGAAATATTAGGGTGAAGTTACTGACAAGGTAGTACTGCAACACACTTCTGAATGTTGTCTCCCAGTGTTACACCACAGATATTCAGATTTTTTTTAGATTTAGGGGCCAGTTTCAGAAATCAGAAGCCACGATGAAAGTTTAAGAGACAGTGAAAATATATTATTTTTGTCAGTGATTATAAAATACATATTATTTTCACAGAAATATCACATTATGACAAGATATTTTTACATAGTTATTTTTGCAAATCCAGTATTATTTGACTATGATACAAGGCTGTCTTCAACAGGGTCTGACTTCTTGATGAAAATTCTAGCATGTGGCTGGAATAAGGTGTTTATCATAAAGGGGACCTCTACAATGCAGAAGCAGATTAGTTGCGATAGTTACAAATTACCAGTTATGCCAATCAAAACCTACCTACCTTAATCAGATGCTTCATGATGAAATTAGAATTATAACCGACAATGACAATTTTACAATTGTTCAATTTCATTCTGCTCTAAGAGCATTATGACCGATTGATCTTTACGTTAACAATGCTGTTTAAACTGCAGAGGTAATATATCATCAAATGAGATAGTAAAACAAAAATATGATTGAGGAGGTGGTAAATATTTGTAATGGGGGACAGGCATAGCCTGTGTACTATTCTACATTTACCTTTGAGAGACTGAGGAAATTTAAATCTGTTAGGACATCTGGGCAGCCTTGCTTAGATTTTAACCAGGTACTTCCTGAATACAAGTCTAACTTAAGAGTATTATCAGTGAGGGACAGAAATTTGTTTCTAAGAATTTTTATTAGCTACTTTAACAGTCCATCTTGGCCCAATTTCCATGTGAACCTGGAAAACAGAATTATCACATTCAGACTCAGTCAGATATTTCGGATGTGGTTGATGCTCTATCTGACAAACAGTTCTCTCAGTATGGTATTGAGAGAGAACAGGCAACATATTAAAATAGTGACACAAATGTATTAAGGCATGTTCCAAAAAACATATGCAAAGCTATTCTTTCTGGAAAAATAGTTGTAATTATGGGGTACAATGATGAACTTCTGTTGTGTCTGAATTTGTACGGAATTCCATAATTCAGCAAATTAAAAATAATTCAGACAGTGGGAGAATCATTATGGGTAAGTTACATACACTCTTTGTGCCAGGACAAGAGTCAGTCCAGTTGCAATGCTTTTTTTGGAGATGGAAGGGGAGACAGGACCAGAATGTAACTCAATTATGAAGACATTTCATCATATGCAAGAAAAGTTCACACTGAAACAGTAAAGTAACAATTAGATACACGCCTGAACATTTAAATTAATGTTTTATGTAATGTCAATTTTGGAGAACATTTCTCCTTTCCATGCAATACATATACAGTAGTGTTGGAACAACTGGACGAGCAGCTCCTGTTCATCCAGAAATTCAATATTCTCGATACGTTGTCGGTCACTAGCTGGGAGAGCAGCATACACTTCCACCATGTCCCATGATAGTGATCCATTCCACCCAGCTCTCAAAAACCTAGAAGAAGGCAGCCAGGTATCACAGAAAGATTCAGTAATATCCCTGGTCCCAAAAATTAAGAAAGCGTGGAAAGATTGGAGCAAAGATTAACTTGGAGTATTTTTTATCACCATGCCGAACATGTAAGTTTTCTATAGAGCCATCATCTACATCTACAGTCTCATGACAGCACAGTAATCACTTTAACGTCCTGCTAGCTGATGTGAGAGATTGAGTCGGCAACTACCCTCTCATTGTGAATGTGATAAACTGCATGGGACAACATTCACCTTGCTTACCTTTCACCTTTCACCTTTTATCACACTGATTGAATGTGAAGTACATACTTTAAGGGCTTGGGTACCTGGAGGGGCTAAAGAACCCCTTCATAGACTGTTTTTGATTTCTCTGCTGCAGATTCAAACCAATTTATCATATTAATCATGGATAACCATCTGCAAGATTTATTCGGTGCAGAGGAAGTTCATTCTGGCAATCTCATGTATCAGGAGGGAGTGAGAAAGGGTCAAAGAAAAACTGAAACAAAGGTGGAGAAATGGAAAATAAACAATGAATGAACAGAAGAAAGAATGTTGTTTTAACTGTCATTTAACTCAATTAAAATTCTTTGCTCTGGTATCAGATAAAATGAACAGTTGTGACTAGAACATGCACCTCTGTCTCTGAGTGTTGAGGCTCTGGCATGCACCCACTCCAGCCAATGGACATCCACGTGCCCGAAGGTTCCGTAACATTACATCACCAAACTTGTCTCCCATATTTACCTGTAACAATGTGCACATCTCTATGATACTATGAGCCAAGTAGAAGCACCATTAAATATGTTGCATTTTAAGGCTCTAATGGATTTCTTCCTGTATATTACAAATTTAATACAAGTAAGGTTACTGTCATTTATCATTTGTCTGTCATTACACAAAAATATTTTGTGCAGTCATCATGTTATTTCTTTTTTGTAGGAAAGTACCCAAATAAAAATTTGCATACTTGACTTTGCTACATAAGAACCCTACAATGATCTGATGCAACTCTGTGCACAAGTGACTTAGTACAATGCCTGTGGCATGATAAATTGGTAAACATCAGTTCTTCTGTATATACTTCCTCTCATGAGTTGTTCATGTTTTCAATTTGAGGTCTCTTTTAAGGCCAGCAATAGAAACCAGAAGAATTTTAATTTTAGACTTGCAGTGACAGAATGGTTCTTGGGTTACTTGTTATAACCATATTAAGCTACTCAATAATTCCCATCCCCCCAACTATGAAACGTCTGAATCACGATATAATGAAGTTCAAACCAGCACTATACGAGTATCTCATATCTCACTCCTACTCTATAGAAAAATAACCTCAACCAAACATTCTCAGTTATTATATATACATGTAAGCAATAGTGGGTATGTTTTGTGTGTAATTATTCTTGTGTTAATACTGTAGTTGACTGTAAATTATTGCCGTGACTATGTAATTTATATTTGTATTATAAACAAGTACTGTATTTGTGCTATGACATGTTCTATATTCTTGGGCCTATGAAGGATCTATGGAATGTAAATAAATAAAGTCTATTTTAAGACAACCAGAAGGGTTGGTCCTACTACCTTCTTAAAGAAACATCCAGGAAGGCATACAACTACACACCTGTTCATAATTAACAAACAAAGGTGAATCAAACTTCTTTGCTATCCAGCTGAGCAGCTGCTCTACCTTGGGTGCATCAATGTAGACCAGAACACACTCTGCTAAGAATAAAGTTGGCATGTTGAACTTAACCTCAGATTCATTTAGTTTCACCTCAACTTCATGCAAGTTGCGAAGATCAACACCAACAATGTGGTAATTTCCTGCATGCAGATCTGTGGCACTAAGGCGTACCTCTCCATCTAAAAAAATCCAAATAATTTTTGTGACTTCTTAATGTGACATTAACCTGCCTGTTTGATATTTAAATTGTACTCCTCAAACAATGCAGTGGTCTGGTCATACAAATCCATTGAAAGGTATATAAATATAAACCAATTTATATTGTGTAATTTTTAATAAGCATTTAGGAATGTTGGGAATTTTATATTCAGCATTATGTTCAGAATAACTCCAGATGTGACCTATTCACTTATCCAATGAACAGTGGGGCCATTTCCTTGGTAATAAAGTGGTAAGAGCATGATGATAACCACTGACACCATTTATGCTGAGGTTAAAAATGTGTGTTACACAATACACAATGACTGTAACTTGTCTGACTTCATATTTACTATATCAATAATATACCAAATAAATAAAATATTCAAGAACCTTCCATGTGTATTTTGTCAAGCAGGACTTTGTTTCTCTTTATTAAGTAACATTTTCTAGCAGTGACGCTGGGAAAATCCACCTCAATGAAATTTGTGACATTTTTATTCGAATCCTTCAATCTCCAGTATAATGTATCAAAGCCTGATCCCAAGTTGACAATTTGACGTTCACTCCCACTTTTCTGGAATGCGTAAAAATGTGTGTTAAAGCAGAGTCAAGAGATAGTAAAACAGATGACAAGAAACGACCAATAAACACTATACCTTTAGAAATTTGTCAATAAACATCTCTACCCCTTTAGCCCTAGCATAATATCCACGGTTTATTTCGGGAGTCTTTTTCTCTCCGGCTCGTACAAATAACGAAATGTACCGATCTTCCCAATAACCCAATTGAACTGCGCAGCGTTTACATTCACTTGCATCGTCATTTGTAGCTTGTACACCTTCGTTGAATGCCATAGAACTCATAGTAAAAGGATATCAAATGTCTCACAACAAAAAACACAAAAATTAATCTATGATCATATTATGTGTTCCAAACTTCTCTTTCCCACTGTGGCCATATTATGTACGACCATTATTGCCACACGACGAAAAGGTAATTTAGGAAAATTGCTTAATTTTATCATGCTTTGAATTAAGTTCTTCACGCTATGGGTTATGAACACTAAGTTATGGGGTTACACGGTTTTAAATGCTTCCATGGCCTGTACGGTTGTGTTTAATTTGTTTCGGTTTATACACACAGAGTGTTATAATGCTCGCTATAAACATACAATTAATGTTGGTAGTGTCATGGGGCAATACTACGTACAGTTTTAGAGTATATTTAGAGTACATTTTGGTTAGTGGTGATGTGATACGATTCAGATTCGATGTAAAAATGTAACTTAATGTTATTTTATAATGAAATATATAAAGGTATTAATAGCATTGTTCTTATTAATTTGAAATTGTTATATTAACACACTTCGGATATGAAAGTTCGTCATATCCTGTTTATTGGGCGTATGACATTCTGCATAAGATAAGCGGGAAATGTCATAGTTACCATGGATGTTCAATCAGTTAAACTGTATCTTCAGAATATTGAAGAATATGTTATGGATGAAGATAAAATTGTGAGTTAATTGTAGTATTTTAGTCGCGTGTTTGTTTAGAATATTTAAAATGCTAACGCAAAAATTTATTTATTTTTCAGGTTACGTACAAATGGCTGAGTAAAAATCTGGGTATCCATGTAAATACAGCAAAACAGTAAGTATTTAAACAAAATGGAACAGTGAGGAGGTGATAAGATGCCCGTAAATTATGGCCCGATGTTGCATGATTTCCGAATAAGGTGTCAAGCAGAGGCCCTATTTGCAGTATACAAGGTCCGCCACAGAAAAAGTAGCATACATGAAATGGGGCATTCTCCGTTTCGGTGACACCTTACATCGGATGTTTACTCAAAACTGTATATTAAATTTGAGCTACATGGGACAAAGAATCACGTATTGGATACTAACTATGCAGTTTGTTCATAAAGTCTGCCATCATCTAAAGTCTGTAAAATGTATCTGATGTAAGGAATCTTGCAGGTTACTGTACACCTTTGCAACAGAACAAAAGATCAATGTGAATTTGACATACCTGGTTGGAGGTGTGCTGTGTGATGGAACTGGATGCAAGGTACAAATTGTTCGTGAAGAAGACCTGGAAAAGGCGAAAGCTGAGTTCAAAGCTTTGACATCAGAACATGTTTATAGTGTTCAGAAGGCAAAGATATTACCAGATCTTGGAGTTTTATATGCAGTAGACTGCCACAAGAGAGATGAAAATGAAGATGGTAAAAGGTTAGTTGACCAAGTAGGATCATTTGTGAGACAACTAGAATGTAAGACTTGAGGTTCTCACAGCGGTGAGTATGAAGATATCCGTCTTCTGGGTTATTGCGCTGTGTAGTCTGGTCGATGTTAACCAACGTTTCAGAGGTCATACTGCCTCCGTCATCAGGGCGATGACTACTATACTACTAATAATACTATTCTTTTACGTCCCACAGATGGATGGTGTGGTAATGCCTTTTTATTCTGGGACTTTCACTTTTTAATTTGTCCGGAGATAGGGATTAGCTCTATCTAGTGGGCCCAACTGAGTAGGAACCTGAAGACGGAGATAGAGCCCCATCTCCGAAACGTCGTTTTACGTTTT